AAAAATTTAATATATTATTTTTGTTTGTTATTGAAATCTGTTTGGGGGATTATTTCATGGGGACAAGATCATTTTTATTTTTATTTTATTTTTACTTTAATATACTGAAAGGCTTAATTGGACTGTAACGGTTTAAACAAGTCAATTGCAAAATATAAATAATATATACACTAAATGATACAAATGTATTATTTGTCAATTTAAAGTTTTACTACATTTTCTTCCCTGGAATCCCTGGAAATCCTACCCCCTGTTGGGATCAGGATAATCCTGTTTTTTTTAAATCAAAGTAATCCAAATCCTACTGAGGTTTTGAACAACACAAACTGAAGGTTTGATCCAGATTAAAACTAGGATTGGATTCCGTGATTTGATCTGATTTCAGAATCCTTCTTTCGCTTTTGAACAACCCATTTTCAAGATTTGGTCCAATCCGATCAGCTTGCCTTTGAACAACTGGCCCCAAAAGTGAAAGTTCCTTGTTGCTGCTTTAAGTACAGAAGTATGGGCTATTAATGCAGGCCATCATTCTGCAGTATGGCCCCTTCATAATAACCCTATAATAATAATAATTATATTGTATATAATATGGATTATGATTGCTGATGCATTAATGTGTAAGTAACATTTTACTGTTTATTAGTTGTTTAATCTTAGTTTTACTGAATATTTAGCATCTTATATTACAACTTTTACATATAGCATCATAAAATAGGTGCATAAAGGAGAGAGCTCAACTCGTTATCTGGCTTCCTAATTTGTTCATAATACAAGGGATTAAAGCAGTTCACTTTGCTGCCAGGAGCATTGCTTTTTATTTATATATTTTATTTATCTTATATAACAAGGCCAAGTAGTAATTTCATACACATTAAAAGCTGGTTAAAAAAAGTGAGAAAACAATAAAAAAGTAATCGTCTTCAAGTTTCCATTTCCATCTTTATTTCACAGATGATCTCTCCTTCTATTGCATTTAAAAGTGAGAAAAAACTAATGTTTTCCTGCAGGTCTAATGTGAAAACTTTGTCTGTATGCCAACATCAAACTTCTGCTTTTGTGTCTCACTCAAACAGATGGGCAGACTTACTCCGAGGGTGAGGGTTCCTCCACTTCCCCACACTCACAGATGTTACTCAGATGACTTCCACTTTGCTTTAACTGGAAGAGTGTCTCAGTAGTGATGTTATACCCACAAATATCAAGAAAGACCACACAGTCATATTACTGACACTGACGTTTTCTTTGGCTAAACCTCACCATCAAACCCGGCAGGCAACCTGTTCTGAGTCATACAGTGTAGGTGACAACACAACAGAGGGATGCGGGTCAATCTGAGTCCAGCAACCACCGATATGGAAAACCAAAATAAAACAAAATTTAAAGTTTTTAAGAATATTCATTTTATTTTATTGAAAACATCACAATTTTGCACTTTACATCAATCTCTCAGTCAGTGTATAATGCACACATCCACATTGTCAAAAACATAGATTTACTGCAGCCCCCCCGAGTGTAAACGTGTTGCACAAAATTACTTTGTTGAAATAGTGTGAAAGTATATCTGAACATTTTATTCTTGATTTGAAGACAGTTGTTTGTGTCTCAGACCTCAATAGAGAGAGTTATATGTTGGAGGTTCAGAGAATTAAAATGAATGAGTGAGAGCACTTTTTTGTCTTTGGGCTTTGATCAAAATCTGGTGAAATACAATGGTTTTATTGTTTTATTAAAGGCAAAAATAATCTAATTGGCCATAATTTCAGTTCAACACAGGAGCCAACAAAGCAAAACTGTTTGAATCTGCCAGATCAGCCAAATTACTTCACTTACTTACTAATTACTCTAATTTATTTTTTGCATACTTTTTTAAAAATCTCTTTCCTTGGTTAGTTGGCAGTCTTATTCTTTCTTGGCCATCAGTCATTACATTCTGTTTTTATATTGTTCCTGCTGAAATTGAACTCGACCAATGTGTTTATTTCTGCATCTGATAACTGTTTGTAGGACTCCAACGATAGTCTGCACTGCAGGTCTCAGGCCATACTGGGAAGACATTATTTATACATTATATATGGCAATAAATAACATTAAAAATATTATATTCCACCCAAAAGGTGTTTGTACATGCAGATAACACTGGAATACATCTTCCTGTGCACTGCTGAAGACACAAATCCCCAAATCATAATGGAAACAAGGTATTCTTGTAACGTCACTTGTTACATTAGGAGTGCATTTGTGAATTTGAAGTGCTTACGAGGACATACATCACCAATTCGGGGAAACATTTATATTTGTGCATTTTAGGCTGATTCTCTTTTCAGAATAAGGAGGAAGAGTTAGTGCAACAGTGAATAAATCAGCCACATAAGCAGGTCAATGGTCAAAGCTGAGGCATAAATACTTCAGTATATTTGAGAAAAGTGCTACGTAAAGAAATAAGATCCTGAGAGAATAACATAAAACTTTTTCTTGTCACTTCTGGTGTGGACGACATCAGAGTCACACAGCAGTCCGGACTCGTCCTGGACCAGTCTGATGAGGTCTCGACTGTCATTTTGAGTAATGGGCGAATGGAGACTCCTCGCTCATTTTGCCCTGCAGAGGTGAAAGCAGACAGCAAAGGGGTTAAAAGGAACTAAACATACTCACAATGACTTGTCACCAGTATGGTTCGATGACCTGCTTTACCAACTGTAGACATGTATTTATAGTTAAACATATGTTCTCTCTGTTTCTTCTACCTCATTAAAAAATCAAGAGTCTATGAATATACAAGTTTAGTTCATTTCTAAAGTTTTCCTTTTGGGATACAAGATGTATCCTACTTAAAGTCCATTTTCAGTGTTTGTGCACTGGTGGCTTCAGGTTTCAAATTGGCAAATTAGACCAGGATTGACAAACTATTTGTGATGTCACAAATCATGCTCGTAGGCCCCGCCCCTTAAAAACTAGATTTTCCATGAGCTCGGATAAACTTTCCACTTCCAGCAAACTAATGTGAAAACATCCTTCTAGTGTGAAACTCTGCACAGACGTCACAATGAACCTCAATTACCAACTGTAGGAACAAGAAGAACATATCTTTGGCTGAGGGAAACTTTAAGCAATAAGGCTCAAGGAGTCTAGCTGTGTGCTGCTTTACATTAATGATGTATATTTATTAACAGGAGGTCAACATCCTTTCCTGTTTCCTGGTTGCAGGTTTTCTGCTTTGCAACTTCTCTCCAGTTTCATTGCACACATTTAAAGTTCAGTTCAAAAAGACGGAAGAAGATATTTAAATAATACAGAGATATTTTAACGAAGGACACTCGTGTTATTGCAATTTCCTTTCAACATATCACAATGTCAAAATATCCCTTTGAACCCTGAAAACATGCAGAAATAGAAAGACCTTGCAAAGCCGAAACAGGAAATGACCATGTAAGAGTGTCAAAACAAAAGCTAATAATAATACTCATTACAAACTTTTATTTTCTCAAGAATTCTGAATGAAATTCTGTCCAAACACAAATTACTGTTCCTACCTGCATTTTGGTAAATGTATTTTCAGTTTTGTTATGAAGCTGTTTGTTGTCCACTGTATGTCCATTCAAATGTTAATTTAATGAATGTTAAGATGTAGTGTGAAGATGTTCTGCTTATAAGCTTAACATGCAGAAAAAAATAAAGGTTATCAGTAAATAACACTTTCAAAACACAGTTTAAACTCCTGTCACCAATAAACCTGCATGTTAACCTGCATGTTTATCTCCTCACATGCAAAATCAGCTTTTTTTGAGTTGGACCCATATGTTGCTATTCAGGTATTATATGTGCTGCTTGCACATGTTCACATGCAGTACACTCTGTCCTAATCCAACACACCGTCCTCTCTTTACTGCAGTTACACACATGTGGCAATAAAGATTTATAGATAGCTGGGGACAGATATATTCTGTAGAGCGCTTTGTTTTCGTGTCTGGAGACAAATCTCCTGTTCTCATGGTGGAAGCTTGCTTACATTTTCACCTGAAATGACATCTAAAGAGTGCAGGAAGTTGAGAATATCTGAATATCTGCTGACACACCGATGACGACTAATGATAAGCTTTAATTTCTGAAGAAAGCGCTTAGTCATTATGTGCTCACCACTGTCCTATTTCTGACTCTTTCACATAATGAGAATTCAGTCAGGCTTCCTGTTTGTGTTAAAGACAGAGCAGCAAACTGTGTGCTGAAGGGAAGAGGAAGAAAATGACACATGGCAGTCGTACACACTTTACACGCTGCCAGAGTTGAGTTCAATTCCCTGCACTGTTACCTGAGTCACACCTTGTTCAGGTTTTAAACATATTCTACATAATCACTAATAAGTGTTGCCCCCTGCTGGTAAAAAATCACATGAAACCTGCACTCACAAGGCTGATCTGTAGGTCACATTTCACCATCTTATAGTTAATGCTAATTAGCACTAAACACCAAGTACAGCTGAGGCTTAGTTTAGCAGGTATTTAGTCATAAACCCATTGGAGAAATTAAAGTTTTAACCTGATAATGGCACAATATCCAATCACCATCCAATACTTATTGAGATATTTCAGTCTGAACCAACTAAGCTATGGTGAACATAACCTCCTGTTTCCTGGTCTTCTGCTTTGTAACTTGAAATCTGAAATTCAATTTGAAAGGACGGAAGAAGAGATTTAAATAATAAGGAGATAGATATTTTAAATATATTTTCAAATGGTAATGGCAGCGTGACGATGTTCTCAGTAGGTTTTCAGTAGATAACACTTAAATAAACAGTTCTCTTTTTTAAAAATTTCACTTAAATAGTTACAAAGTGGAAAATCTGTTCAAAAAATCAGTTTAAAATCAGTGCAAATGTCAGATTCCTGTTTTCTAAATCAGTGGTTTCCAACACAGGGTTTGGGACCCCCACTATGGGTCGCCAAAGCTTCATGAGGGGTCACGAGGCCTTCTTGATTTTAAGGGGTGTAGGAAAACTTAAAAAATATACACAGTATGCCTATATCTATCTCTCCTAATCCATCTATTTTAATCACTTCTGTTAAGAAAGGTCAAGTAAATTGTGTAATGACAATGGTCAGGCGTCAGATAAATATGATAAAAATAAATAATACAGACTGAGAATGTTATGAAATATTCCCTTAGCAGGAAATAATCTGATCAAAATCATCCAAATTACTTGTTTTAGACAAACTTCTTGCAATTACTGAGTTCACTGTTTGGGTTTATTGTACTGTTTTGAATATAATATGAAATATCCATGAAATATGTCACTTAGCCAGGGGGTTGTCAGTTTACTAAATCATAGAAAAAGAGTCCCTTAAAGAAAAAGGTTGGGAACCACTGCTCTAACTCACCATTGGCACATCGTCAAGCCTCTCGAAGTTGGACCTCGGTGATCGGATACATTTCACGGTGACAACCACCAACACGAGGGCCAAGACGATACAGAAGATGCAAAGGATGGCCACGAGGCCGGGATTTGCCGCCAAGTCACCTTTCCCCCAGTCATGTGAAAGACCTGAGGGTGAGACAAACAAAAAGGTCACTTCCTAACCACTACATTGCTGCTTCTGTCCAAAGAGAGGGTGGTTGTAAAGGAAAGAATCACAACACTAAATGAGAGAAGAAGGAACTCAGAGGCCAAGATGTCTTACAGTCAACCTATTCTACCGCCAGCAGTTGGTTTCAGTTGAACATTCTATTGCTACGGCAACCACTGCTCTCAAAGTTCCGTGGCAGTTTAACTGTCACTGTTAACGTCCGCCGTTTTTGTCCGATCTGTACGCATTTTTATATGTTTCCCTTATAACCTCGCCGGGGAATTATCTGTAGGTACTCTTAAGTTACAGCTGTTTAGTGAATGATTAAGTAGAGTTGAGCTGAAGTAATTTTACTGCTGACAAAACTTGCTGCTCTACTAGCTGCCTGAAGCTAATGTGTTGCTAATACAACAATCAAGTTAATTTGCTGTTGGGTTAACTTTTGTGTATTTCACTCTTTTTACTTGCCCTGTTGTGGACTTTATGTGTAGCCTATGCCTACTAGATTGATTACCATGTTGTATTTTCTGAGCTCGTCTCACGCACGGCTGCAGCAACCCTTTGCTACAGAGTAGAGAGGTCTCGCCTTCACTACAGTGTCTATATTTGCAGGAGGATATCGAGGACCAAAATATAATTTTCTTCTACTATCTGTTTCAGATTAAAAGTTCTTTAGGGCTTCTATGGACCAAATCAATTCATTTGTTAACAAGGCTTTTGATTGTATTGCATAATACGTTGTTTTGTCGTTTAATGAGTGACAATGTAGCCTCAGTAATATGACAGTTTATAATTGGGTCTAACTATTGTTTGTATCTCATCTTTTAACCGCTGTCTTCAAACCTAACCAGAGGCAGAAATAGAAATGACAGCTTGTTTCTGTTTCTACTTTTCCTGCTGTATAAAACACAGCACCTTAACTGACCTATTTCACTGCACAAATACAACCACACATGGACCATTCATATGTGACATTGCACAATTTAAGTGCATGGTTTAGATTCTTTCTTAATTAATGTTCTCTGATTCAGAATAAAGAAACCCTCCAACCCTCAGCTCTGACTGCAGTCTGACCTGGACTGGTTGTGTTAACAGTGGTGGTGGTGGTTGCTGTAACGTTTGGTGATTCGGATGCTGGTAGGAAAGTCGGCCCATGGGAAACTGTCTCATTGGACGTCTGATTGGTCGCTGCAGGAGGGCTGGGATGTGTTTCCTCCGTCCTGTTGGGTGATAGTAGGGAAGTAGTGGGCGAAGGGACTGCAGTGGTAATCTGGTGTGTTGTCGGTTGCATCTCTTGGGTGTTGTTGATGGGTTTCACAGGGTTTGGAGTGACATCATTTTTTGTTGTCACAGCTAAACTGGTGGGCGGTGCAGCACTTGTGGTTATCTCTGGTACCTGTATAGTTGAAGAGGAAGGTTTGGCGTCTGCAAAGAAGATGAAAAACCAATGACACCCAGCATTTCCACCTGATCAAGACAATGCTAGTGGAGAATGTTTGTTGGCTTTCCCAAGGTAAAACACAGAGGCGTAGCTTGAATTATGTGTCGTAGTCTATAGACCCACCTGCACTTTAGCTGTTCATCCTATACTCTTTAAGCATTTTAATATTACTTTAAATGAAGATAAATGACAGTTACTGCAAAGATTAGTCTATTTTGTATTGTCTTTCTTAATGTGTGCAGCCACGCAATACACACTTTTTTTCCTGATCCTGCTTTCATCTACTGCACGTAAGTGAGTGTAAAAATACTCTAAACCAATAAAACAATGAGTAATTGGTTAAATACACAAAGGAGGTTGACCTTGTTTGCGCTACTTTGAGCTCCAACTTTACAAAACAAAGTATGTCAGTATTATCAACAAAATGTATGTAAAGTATCAAAAATAAAAGTATTTATTCTGCAGTAAAATGGCCCCTGTCAGAGTTTTATTATCATATATATGGTGTTTTACATGTTTATATTGCTGTAACTATCACAGACACAGTAGGTATTTATTAACGGAGACAAATGTATGTTTTTGTTAAGCATTTCTGCTTGGTGAGAATAGAAGCAGTTAAGTAGTAGCTAAACTGAGCCTTTCCGTGGAGTATGTTTGCTTTTATGATTCAATTGTTGAGTAAATGCAGCTTCTATAGTTAGAGTTAAAGCTTAATGCACCAAACTAAACAATACAAAATAGCGTGTAAGTAGAAGCCCTCAGTGTTTGTAGCCCCACCAAGGTAAATAATCACCGCCTCCACTGCTCTGAATGGCCAACTCCATGAAAGGCGATCCACGGCGTCTGTAGATAAAAACAGCTGATTCTAAGGTAACCTATGAATATTATATTCGATTTCTGTCAGTAGATCCTCAGATCATCATCAGTGTGATACGATTAAAAGCTCCACAACAGCTTCTAAATGGACCTTGAGGTGATGTTGTTTTAATGAAGCTGTTTTTTGTGTCATTAAGGCAGAGATCAGTTTGTTCAGATGAGGTGTCTGGCTCTTTACAGCAGAATTAAAAGTCTGTCAGGAAATGATTTGTGTTTTCTGGTGATGCAGACAAACAGCTGGCGGTCAGCTGGCATTGTGTATGTATGTGTGTACATAAGTGTTTGCACAAGCATCAGACGCCACAGTCCGTTTAGCTCAGAATCACTTTGACTGATTAAATATTTGCTCCAGGTTCCACCCAGACATGACCTTCACATTTATTTTACCTTCCTCTTTTTTACCAATAGCAGCTCACTCTTCACTTTAACATACAGAATGCAGAAATACACACTTTGACTTGTATATTACAGCAACAGACATGAATATATTGCTTGAATTTAAAGGTTTCTGTTTTATTACAAGGCTGCATGTTGTCCAGCGTTTAGTCCTCAGATTTTGACATATAATGCTGTTGTAGGTGTTAAAATTCTACTAAATACATAATTTCCCTGCGTGCTGAGAAAAAAACCTGCCACAAACTACCTCCGATAAGGTTACTGAACCTCCCTCTCTCTGCAGGAAGTTTCCTATTTGCATAACTTTGCATCTTCACAAGACTTCAACATAACATTCAGGCAAATTATCTCACAACTCTGGCAACAGTTTTAATGTAAAATTGTGAAATGTTGACTTACCTGCCCAAACTGCAAACAGGGACACCAGTACAGTGAGGTGCTTTACTGCAGGCATGTTGAGAGGAAAAGGCTGCCGATCATTTCGACAGCATGCAAACACACACACACGCACACACAGACTACATCCTTGACAGCAGGATGTGTCGAGTGCCTCAGGAGGAGTGCTCTAAAACTGTGGGTTGGTGCGTATCAAATCCTTCAGGCTGATTAGTCAGTGTTTAAACACGGCTCTGTATTTGCTTGTCGCTCCATCTCTGCTGCTGTTATTCCGGCTTCAACACATTAAAGTGACATTTATGTTTAAGTTAAGTTTTCTTGCTTTCTACTGCTGAGTGAAAACGTTTACTTTGCAGGTTTTAAATACTCACTTGAACTTGCAATGAAGCTATTTACTGCTGCACACAATTTAATGTTTTTACTTTTTGTGGAGCAGAAATATCTTGCACTTTTTTATTGTTTTATTAATTTGTTTTGTATTTTATTGCTTGTTTCATTTAACTCTTTCACTCCTGTCTATGTGTGTTTTATATCTTTATGCTTTGCATGTCTTAGCAGCATTATGAATTTGACACCTAAAATTAGAGATCATTGACCATTTTCCTTCCTGGTATCGATTCCAATACCTGGGCTTTGTGTATCAGCTAATACCAAGTATTGATCCGATTAAAAAAATACAAATACTTTTTCACAAGCATAAACTACTAAGCCTGTATGGTTGTTATTGCAATTTCCCAGCTTGGGATCAATAAAGTATATCTATATATCTACCAATTATCATTGTTATATGGCCTAGTTCTGGTCAGAGTAGGGTTGCTTCACTATCCTGATACCCAATACTGCATTTTAGCAGCTACAATTACAGCTTTAACTGAGTCTACCTCCTGGAAGGATTAAGGTATAACAACTCTATATTTAAAGATTATGAAATGTACATAATAAATGCTATTTTCATACAGATGTAGAGTACACAATAAT